TACCTCAGAGACTTTTTAAGTACTGAGCAAATGAGAATCTTATATATGTCTCTGGTGCAAAGTCATTTGACATGCGGTATTCTTGGCTGGGGAGGTGTTTCCGAAGTTCATTTGCGGAAACTTAATACAATACAGAAATGGTTTATTAAGATTATTTTTGGCAAAGATAGAACATATCCAACAAACGATCTATTCTCTGAAAGTAAAACTCTAGATTTGCGTCAGCTCTACTGTCTGGAGATTCTTAAAAATATCAAGAAAGAAAAAATTACTTTCAACATTGGCCAAAATGCCTCTACAAGACGCCACGCCTTAGCATATCCGACAATATCCCATAAAACTCATGGCCAGAGAAGTCTAAAGTATTATTCGCCAAGATTGTATAATATGCTTCCAAATGACATAAAATTAATAGAAAGCTGCAAATCTTTTAAGATAAAAGCTAAAAACTGGATATTTTTGAAAGGTAGACAGGCTTTTAATAATTTAATTGACCTGAAATACATAAGATAAACGCTTTTTGTTTCAAATAAAGCTTTCAATAAAAAAAAAATAATAAAAAAAAAAAAAAAAAAAAAATACTCGAAATCGACTTAAACCCTTGCTGTAACTTGTATACCCTATTAAGACTTTGAAAAACCGAATTTAGACATATTCCCGGCTATGACACACTATCACACACAAGCACAAGTATGCTTCCGTGATACATTTTTTCACGTTTATTCTAATTTGTTCATATATCTAGCTATTTGTAACTATTTTGTTTGATAAACGTTATATTATTATATGAAAATTGCCTAGGTCAAATTTTTTTCAAAATTAAGATTTTAGTGCAGTCTTGTGAGAAACTCAATAATCTATGATTCAACAAAATATTTGGGCGATGAATTGTTAGATGGAGCCACACAACCATGAAGAGAAATTTGCACAAGTCCGTCGTTGTCTTAAGACAGAGTGAAACTTGCGTGAGTCCAATCTCTTTTATGCATTCTTGTCGGTGATTTTCGGTGATTTATATCATGTAGTTTCTCTTCAAAAAAGTTTTTTGCGCCTCCTGTAAAATTTACTTTTTTGGACTTAGGCAATTTTCATATGATGCCGACGAAATGCTAGAGATGTGTTCTTGGACTTAATTTTTACTGTGTGTCTTACTAATTGAGATTGCTCAAGACACCTTAGTGAGTTGTGATGATCATCATCCTGCCTTCCTTTTTGATATTGATGTCAATAGTCCAATTTTTGTTCAGCATAATAATGTGGAATTTCGATATAACCTCAAAAACTGTGATTTTAGCAATCTCAATAATATTTTGTTGAATATTGATTGGGATCTCATATTGGATTGTGATGTAGATATAGCTGTAGTTCTATGATATTGTTGATAAGTGTATTCATGAACTTGTACCAGAATATAAAGTCAAATCTGATTTTAAATTCCCTATTTGGTTTGATCAAGAGCTTAAAAACTATAGAAAAGAAAAAATGTCACAAACTGTACAAATCTAACCCTACTATAACTAATTATCAGAAATTTAGAGAAATGCGAATTATTTGTAAAAGTTTGTCTCAAAGTTGTTATAGGAATAACATAAATAAACTGGAACAGAATATTAAAAAGAACGTTCGAGCTTTCTACTTTGTAGTTTTAAAGAATGATCAAGGAAAAATCGCAAGATTAATGAAAACTGGAACTAGAGAAATTTCAAATGACACAGAAATTGCTAATGTGTTTGCCGAATATTTTGCCACTGTTGATAAAGATCCTAATAAACTATTTTTCGTGACATAGTTTTTCCAAAGTTTATGCTCGATTATGTTGAATAATCCTTATATTACCGACTATAACTGTCTATGACCCAACATAAGTACCTAATCAAACATAATCTTTGGAAAAATTATGTCGCGAAAAATAGCCTAATCTCTCAGACAGCAACCTACCCTTATCTACATATAATATAAATGTTAAGTAGCTCTTCCAATTTTAGTTTATCAAACATTCTTGAAGAGCTGGAAAAAAATCATTTGAACCAGGGACCAGGACCAGACAACCTTCCTCCTATTACTAAAAAACTCTATCCAGACCTTTATGGCTACTTTTCAACAACTCAATATGGAAATTAACTCATGTTAAACCTATTTATAAAAATATTGGTAGTAGGAATGAAATCAAAAATTATAGACCTATTTCTAATATATCTCTTATTCCTAAAATAATGAAGAGTAACTTCCACAGAATTTTTGAAACTGAATTTCAGTTATTTATTAATTCCTAACCAACATGGATTTTTGAATCAAAAATCAATTTAAACTAATCTTACTTATACTGATTTTATCTATAATAACTTGGAAAAAGGATTTGAGGTAGACTCTATAATACACTGATTTCTCAAAGGGATTGGATAATAAATGACGTCAAGTCCTGCTTCAAGTTCTCCGAATTTGCACTGTATGCTGATGATTTGAAGGTTTATAAGGCTATCACCACTGAGCATTGTGCTAACAATCTTCAGATTGACTTAAACAGTTTTTATAGTTGGTGCATTTCAAATAGAATGTTTCCTAATGTTGAAAAGTGCAAATTTATCAAGTTTTCAAAATCCTAAACGAAAAACGAAGATAATTAGGGATTTGTCGACTCCAAACTAAGTTTTGCATATCATATCGATGATTGTAGAAATAAAGCTCTAAGGACATTAGGTTTCATAAAAAGAAATACCAAAGAGTTTGATAATATATTTGTCAATAAATTGTTATATACTGTCCATATCAGACCTCACCTGGAAAATTGTTCTGTAATCTGGAATCCTTACTACTCAACTTACATTGATAAATTGGACAGTGTACAAAGGAAGTTTTTGAGATATATTTCCTACAACACACTTAAATGTCGAAAATGTAAACATAATGCAATCTTGAACAAACTCTATCCATTCAAAGTCTTAAAAGACGTAGAGATAATATCGACATTATCACTTGTTTTAAATTGGTTGACAATGCACTGAACTTGTTTTTAAACTTCAATTTTATGTTCCACAAAAAAATTCTTCGACATGATAGAACTTTTGAGACAAATTATCATCGCACTCTGTGAGGTCATTTTTTTCCCATGTCAAGATTGATGAGGAACATAAATTCATTTGAGGGTGATATTTTTATTGAATCCTTATTTTCTTTGAAAACAAAATTGAAGAGGATGTAACTTTTCTAAATGTGATAATAGCTCATGTTGTTTTCATATACATTTTCGTTTTGTATTTTATACCAATTTTATCTTACTTCTTAAGTATTTAAGTTATAGGGTTTTTTTTTTACTTAAAATTCTGTAACTGATTGGGTTATGCCCGTTTACTTGAAATAAATAAATAAATATTGTGATATTCGAGAAAATAATTTTGTCATGACTTGATTAAATCTCTCATGTTCCAACACTTGGGCCCATTTCTAAGTTCATATAAAGCACATCTCAATTTCAAATACCTTGCATTTGTGCAATTCATTTCGAAAAGCAGTAGGAACATCAATGTAGTGCAGTTTCCAACCTTTCTGTATAAAGACACTGATATAAGTGCCTAATCTTATTGTAGCTAACCTACACACTGGGGCATAGATGAATTCATCGCTATGGTACTTGGAAACCTCTTGCAACCAATCTTGTTATCTTTGTACCGCCTTCTTTTATTTTGAAAACCTTCTTCGTTTCTATAGCTGTTTGATATTCACGAAGTTCTGCTGGAATCCAAGTTTGAGAGTTTTCATGGGATTTAATTTCCTTGTTTGTCGGACACACCTGGAACTATAAATGATTGAGCTTTATAATAATTTCTTTTCCAATCTTCTTTTTCTCTGCTAGAAGCTACCTTACTAGGTTCATTGCTTTGTATGGCCTCGTGACAGTTTTCTCTTCTCAGCAAAATTATCATTATAAATTGCCAATTGTTGAAATTGTTTGCCTCTAACACTGGTACTGTATTGTCATTTACCTTAGCCATAGTTTACTATTCAGTCCAGAATTAAACAAAAAATGACTCTGAGCAAAATCGAAAATAGCTACATTTATAGTTTGCAGCTATTTTTCACAAAACTTCACTCCTAGGCCCATAACCTCTTGACAAATAAGAAACGATTTCTAGTAGAAAATACGAAACAGTACGTGGCCATGCAAGGATGAGGTAAGATTCACCGACTCCGTCTAATTTTCAAATATGATTTTTTCAGTATTTTTAACGTTTACCTTTTTCTATTTACATTGAACACTAAACAAACTACATCAGTTATTTCCTAACCCCAAATGTTCTATTTAATATTTCGAATCTCTAAGCTGTGGCTGGTGTCTTGAACTTCATAATAGCCATCATCAGCCCCGTTGGATATAATATTAACGACCTTACATTGAATCTAGAAAACTTTCTAGAAGGAACTTTTAAAATGTTTCAATTCGATGATTACCTACTCCAATTTTACAATAGTGGATTATCACCTACCTCATGTTAAGACTGACAATATTTTGCACAAAAACTTTAATTATGTAAAATCTTTATTTCCTATCGTTAAGCCATAATGACTGTTAAATTATGAGAATTAAGATATACCTACATATACTATCAAAACCTCTACCTTCTAATTCTAGTTGAAATTTCTGTTTTATGTAAAACCTCTACTCAGGATAAACTTACTCTAAACTGTTTATTTTGGCTTTGCCGAAAATAAACCGACTGTTTCCTCTTAGCAAAAACTTCAATAGGGCGTTAAATTTATCGCGGTGTTTGTAATGGCAAAGCGACAATAAGGAAGTAGGTACCTCCTAGTACTTTCCAACATCATATACTTTTAGCCTGGCAAACACACTATATAAACACAGTCGTGCTATTTTCGATGGGAAAATTAAATATACATTTCGAACTTGATTGCGTTAAGCATCAGATAAAGAATTCGAGTAAATAATTGTTTAACTGAAAGATATAAGTTGCTACTGTAATTATTAAAAAAGTTTTTTTTTATAGGAAGAAGAACGTGAAATTCCATATCACGCCAGAGAAAACAGTAAGCCGTTTAGTTACGGCGTCAATCAAGACATGATAAGCGAATCGAAAGGTTTATCGAGTCCAAGTTTGGTACGAAAAGCCAGCGTCAATAAGAGCCATGGAGATACTTTAGCAAAGGTAAGTCAAGATTTTCTTTTCGATATGTATAGTAAATTTGATAATTAACGAATCGAATTTGTAATCAACTTCAATCTAAATGCGGAATTCACACAAATATGTTTGGTAACGTTGACTTGATGAAACTTGGCAAAGCTGATGATAAAAAGTCTAGTTTCAAGCAGAAACGTTTGATTAGAGATCTTTCACAATTCGATTTATTGAAACTCAGCGTAGTAGTAGAGCGCTTTCGGTTTTCGCCATCATCAGTACTACTTGTCAGGTTCCGACACAGAAGTTGGAATTGCAACAGGACAACGACGATAAGGATACAAAATGTTATGACTCGACATGAATTACAGATCTGAATACAATAAACAATGTAAAACTTTTTAAACAATTCAAAAATTTACTCGACGAAATAAGAAATTCTTAACAAATGCAGTCAGAGAGTCGGGATTTCCAATAGAAACTGCTAAAAAGCATCCCTCCAGAAAATTTTATTGAAAAATATCTAACAATAATATACACTTTATAATTTCCTATAAATTTCATACATTTTCTTCCAATATTAACCAGGTGTCTCAATTTACCAACAAAGCTCGATTGTGGTTTTGACATTTTTACGATTTACAACGAACGTCTTTTTAGTCACATTCGTACAGTCATGTAAGCGTGGGCAGTTATTAATACCATTCCATTGATGCCAAATAAAAAAAAACTGTGTATACATGTATTGAGTAAGAAGTTTAATAAATTTTACATATGTTATTTTTATATTTACATTGATGAATATTTATTCAACTTCTGTTTAATTAAACGTAGATTAATAATAAGTTTTCAATCAACTCTTGAGAGAAAAAGATATACGTGAGCAACTATTAATGATGATATAGAGAATAAAAACGAAAAATGCTGTGGACTTTGAATACATGAAACTATGCGAATGAAATTTTACGTTTACCACAATATTAATATTTTTCTCCTAAAGCTCTGACAGTCAACTCATTGACGTTAACATGTTCAGGCGTAGCCAAAACGTACAGAACGCCTTCGGCAACATCTTCAGGATCTAATCCAGGCATTTCCATTTGTTCGATTAGCTTTGCTCTCTCTTCACCAAAATTCACCCGGATGAACTCAGTCTTGACATACCCGGGACTCAAACTGGTGATTTTGATGGGCAACTTTTCCCTGTTAATTTCCAAACGCACTGTTTCCGTCAAGGCTGTTATAGCGTGCTTGGAAGCTGGATACATGCTCTGTCCAGGAGTGTCTATGACCTTATGTCCCATTGCGCTGTTTATGTTTATTATGTGGCCTTTGGTTTTGTGCAATTTCATGCTAGCGATAGCTTCTCTAATGGCAATAGCTGCAGCTAAAACGTTTGTGTCTAAAACCGTAATCCATTTGCTAATATCACCGTCGATGATGCTGTTACTCAACGATATACCAGCATTGTTGATTAAAACACTTATCGGACCAAGTTTTGTGGTTATTTGTTGGAAAGTCGTTAGAATTTCTTGTTGGTTGGTCAAGTCGCATTTGAAGGCGTGAAATTTACCTTTTTCTTTAGCTAGTTGTTTCGCTTGGTCTTCTAAACGATTGATTCTTCTTCCTAATCCAGCTACAATAACACCGTGTTTAACTAAAAGCTCAACTATAGCTTTTCCAATGCCGGCAGAAGCACCGGTGACTACAGCCACTTTACCAACGAACCGTTCTATAGACAACATTTTGATAAACTATATTAATTCATAACCACGACCCAATTATGTTATGTGATAAGCGACTGCTATTATTGTTCACCTTATCTACGTTGTTATAAAAATCGCATTTAGTATTATAATAATTCTTATGCAATTCTATATAACTATCGACTTTATTTTGTTTGCCATAATAACAGAGTAAAATAAATGACTTCCGACATTTCCGATATTTACATTTTCAGGTCGAAGAGAAGTAACTGATTTACGCGTTGATATTAAAAAAGAAACAAGAGTTTTAGACTTCTGTTGTAGATTGTAGATTGTGGGGGGAGTCGTTTTGCCAGATATTTTGTACGTGACTCTACATCTCAAACTGTCTCCAGGAAGCGTAGATTTCTGTCGAAAGAAGCTATTTTTCTGGGTGTCAGTTGGCCTACTTCTCCTGGTAACAGTGTTGCACCCTCGAGGAATTTGAGCCTCTTGCAGAATTGGGCTGGACATTCGCAGAGAAGATGCTCTGCAGTCTCTATTGCATCTGAGCAGAATCTGCAGGGATCGTTTTCTACTCTGTCTTGAGTGGTATTTTACCAGGCACTGTCCTAGGAGCAGTCCAACGACCATTCTGATGTCTGGTCTGCTCATGTTAAGGAGCTGTTCAGCTCTTTTTGCTGAAAAGGGTATTAACCCTTTTTGTCTGTCTTAGTCCCGGAGTGTGCCTCTAGTATTATGACAGTTGGTCTCCCATTTGTTGATTGTTTCCATAATGTGGCTTTTCATTAAGCTACAATAGGGCTCTGGTCCATGGTATGGTGTTGAGGCCCCTTCTTTTGCGTGGCCATCTGCTTTTCCGTTTCCTTCTATGCCTCGATGACGAGGCAGCCACATCAGCGTTACCTGGGTGTGTGGCGCTAGGGTTTTTAAGGTCTGTTTACACTCCCAGACTAGTTTTGAGGGGCATTTAAAGGCCTTTAAGGCTTTCAAGGCAGCTTGGCTATCTGATAGTATGGAGATGTGTTTTCCTTTGAGACTTTGGTTGAAACACAGTTGTGCGGAAAAGGTCCTGTCTTTGCCATGAGATTTGTTAGGTCTGAAGCTATCAGACTGTCAGTCGCCCATTTTATTCTGTTCATTGTGGAGATTTTCCCTGCTAGTCTTTTGCTTCTGCCGTTAGGACTTTGAGACTTTTCTATGAGCGGAGTGATCTGGTCCAGGGCTTCTGCGATTACTGACCCTGGAACGTGAGTTTGTAGCAGTACCTCTAGACTTTCTTTATGGTCGGTACAAGGTTCTCCAGTTGGCTTTTTACAAACAATTTCGTTTGAGTGGTTTTTTAGAAGAACTTTCTGGAGACGTTGAGCTGGGGATAATTCGTCTCTCCCCTCGCAATTTCTCCATGATTTCCTTTCTGATTTTTTCAATTCGCGGTTGTACTTGTCTAGGGCTCTTCTGTAATCTGCCCAGTTACCGTTAGTTTTTGCCTTGTTGAATAGTTTTCTGGCATCTTGTTTCAGACGTCTCAGCTGCCCATTCCTCCAAGGCACATATCTCTGTGGACTGCCTTCTGTTTTACGGGACAACTGTTCTCATAGGAATCTTTTATTCCGTTTATTAGATTGTAGTTGATGCCTCTAGCTCTTCTATTGTGTTTGTCAGAAGGGAGTTCACGTAAACTCAAGCAGAGACCTTTCACATAGGATACCCAGTTGGTGAGTTTTGGGATTCTCATCTGTACTGAGTGGTTTATTACTGTTTCTTAGTCGAACCTTATTGCTTGATGGTCCGACAGGGAGGATTCATTTGACACAAACCAGTTCGTTATTGTGTTGGATGTGAATGTGTCAGCTAGAGTCACGTCTAAAGCCTCTTGTCTGACGGCGTTGATGAAAGTGGGTTTGTTACACTCTGATGTCTAGACTTCTGTTGTTTGATTGATTTCCCAGAAAACGGTATAAGTGTCAATTCTAAAGAATTAAACTATGACCATTTCATGGTAAACTACCTCTTCCCTCAGCACTTTCTGATTTAATGGAAATGTCCAGAATCCCTTACTACCGATTATTTGGTCGGCCGGTCAGCCTCGAAGATTCTGGAAAAAAAAACAGGAAACTTTTCATAGCAATCTATAAAGTCAGATTCATGACTGAACACGAAAAAAATTATGGATCTTGAAGAAGAACTTGACGAATGGTTTCTGAAGTGAAATGCATTTTTCGAAACTCAGGGATAATGGCCTAGAAAACGAAACGTACAGAGGCATAGTTTCATCCAGATGAAATTGAATACATCATCCTGAACATCAGTAAGAGCATCTCCCTAAGCCAGCGATTCTCAAGAACAGGCTGGGTTCCGCTATGGCAAACACTACTTATAAGAGGGAAAATCTGGATAGGGCTATCTATGTGCCACATGGAAGAAAGGCTCAGAGTGGAAAGATGCCATAGATGGTTGGTGTGCGAAACTAAAACTGGAAAATCCACAGGTTGCTCATAGAATGGTAATCGATGAAAGATTTCAAAATTAAATTAAAAGATATCGAAACTGAAAAGGATATTTTTTCACCTTACTTTGCTCTACTTCCAAACTCCACTCAGCTGGCCAGCTCATTCAGGAAGTTCAGGTCCCATGCGTAGGAGTGCAACGAAACCGTCTTGATTTAACCGGTCGCGGCAAACGAAAAACCGCGGGTCTATTTTCTCGAACCACGCGAAGCGGGCGTTTTTGGCAACTAGTACCGCTTGTCGACACGAAGTGTCAGGACTTGCCAGTACCCTTTTCAGTGTTTAACGCACGCACTTTCAAAAGCCAAATTTAGCAAAGCCGTATCATTCTTAGGCATATAGTAGGCGCAATTCAATTATTAGAATAAGAGAAAACAAGAAATAAAGAAAAACGAATTAATTTCCATTCCCAAATAGGATTTGACATCCTAAATACCCAATTTAACCTACAACTATATATAAGGCGCGTAGACGAAACTTAAACAGTTGAAGTACGAGCACGAAGCCAAGGGATGCAAAGGGACAGACCGCAGCAAACAATGCTATAAGTGCGAAAAGGAGGACCACAAAATAGAAGAATGCAAGGAGGCGGAACAGTGCACGATATGCCAGAAAAAGCACAAAGCTAGTTCGAACAGGTCTGATGTCTTCCGCAGAGCACTCTCATTTGCAGAAAAGAACAAGGCGGAACTCTGTGAACTGTACAATCGATAAAATGTGTGCAGAAAAACCTCAACAGGTGTACAGCTGCACGACTTAATGAACCAAAAATTTAGAGAGTGCGAAAATAACGTAATATTGAGGCAGGAACCAAATAGGAAAAAAATTAGTACCAATCTGTGAATGTTGGAAACATGACTGTGATAAACTACCACTGAGATCGGGGGTATGTGTTTGTGGAAATGAAAAAAGCAGCGGTAATATCCTGCTGTTTTTCACCAAACGGTGAAATCCAAGATTTTTTGAGATCACTAAATTGGTTAGTATAAGGTGAACAGACAAAGGAATTAGCATAGGGGGCAACCTGAACGCCAAGACGATGGCTCTTAGCTCTACAATGATGAACCAAAGAGGCATCACCTGGAAGAATGGCTGGCGGGTAAGGATCTACACATACTAAATACCGTCGACATACCAACATTTATTGGATCTAATAGAACCTCAATAATCGACTTTACGGTGGCGTCACACAGATTTATGACTGGAAAGTCGAAATCGAACCGGAAAAAAGTGACCACCGCACCATAACCTACACGCTCCAAGCGGAACCCAAACGAACAGGGGAGGTGAGACTCAGAGGGTGGATAACTAGCGCAAAAGTTATGGAGAAACTAGCGAAAGAAAGCAGCACAATTTTCCGGAACACCGACGATATAGATGCGAAAACATTGATACAGAAAATCCCGAGGGCGTGCAATAAGCACTTCACTAAAGTAGGAACAAGAACGGACAAGCACAAACCAGTTTACTGGTGGAACCAACAAATTGCGGAGAAACAAGAGTGCAACAGGCGGAGAAGAGAGCAAGGGCAAACCAACAATGAGAACATACTGGAAGGACGGAGAGAGAAATACAAGTCCAAAAGGCAACTGAAGAGGAAGATTGGCAATAGCAAGAAACAAAAATGGAAGAAGGTATGCGAGGAATTGGAGGTAAACATCTGGGACAAGGCTTACCAGATTGTAACAAACCGATTTAAACTCAAGAAACGATGCCAAATTGGTGAAGAGACCATAGAGCGGAAAGTCCAAAAACTGTTCCCAAAATGCCCAAAAAAAAAACAGTTATCGTTAAATTAAACACGTTCTTTTATATAGGCCGACATACAAGACAACAGTCTATTTATTAATAATTGAAAACTAATAACCATAGAGATCACAACAAGCTCACAAGCTACTACAATCTTATTCAACTAACTAGTAAGTAGTGACAAAAACTTGACACAATGACAAAGTGTCATAGATAGCTAGAGAAATTGTTTTCTTTATGTTTGTGAATCCTGTAATTTGAACACCTCCACGCAGAAACATAAAAAAAAAAAATGTCTTCAATCAGAACATTCCTAAACCTAGTTTGTGTAACACAAAGCAATGCTTTTCATAACTCAAACTCTTAGTTAACAAATGTGCTGGCATTTCTCCGGTTGAAAAATACTTCAATTTTAAATGTTTATTTGCAATAACTTCCCTGATAAAATGATGTCTTACGTCTATATGCTTAGACCTTTTATGATATACAGGATTTGCAGATAAGTTTATAGCACTCTGATTATCGTTATATAATTGAATAGACAAAGCAAAAAGTAAACGTAAAGTTGAATGTCTAACTACAGGTGCAAAAGTCTCGTTTCCTGGTTTCTTAGAAAAACCTCTAGCTACTAAGCGAGCAGGATATCTGACTTCACCCGCACTATTCTCCTTTTTTTTAAAACACCCACTTACAACCGCTTACAACCAACCAAAAAAGCATATTTTGTCAAATCACTTACCACCCACGCATCTCATTCTCTTCAAATGACTGCAATTCATCACTGATGGCACTTTGCCATTGC